AATTGTAAAAATTAGAAAAAAAAAAATAATCCCAATTTTTATCAATTTTGGTAGAATAATTCTAACTTTGGATTATTCTGGAATAATTCGAATTTTGGGGGACTTCTTTTTCTTCAATTCCAAACCGGTCAACCAAAGTCAATGACCTATTATATCAGGTCATTTGACACGTGTCAAGTCCTAATTGGTATAAATTTTTTTTAAAAATTAATAAAAAAACAAAAACAAAAACAAAAAAATAAGAAAACCACCCAGCATCCCCTTCCCCCACCGAAGCATGCACCTGACCACCACCATAGCCTAGCCCGCCGCCCCACCGATCACCCTTACCTCTACAAACACAGCCCAGGCCGCCGCATCTCCCCCGCACATTGAGTCGTCGTTTTGACCTCTCCCCAAAAAACCCACGCAATCACCGAAATCACCAGCCCCAAAAACCACCGTAACCCCAAATTCCAACCACGAGACCCCAAAACACTCATCCCCCGCCTTGAAACCCTAGCATCTAGGGTTTTCGATGGTGGGAGGGGAGTGTTTTGGTAGTTTTCGGGAGTGGGCTGGTGGCTTTGAGGGATTTTCGAGAGTGGGGTTGGTGGCTTTTGGGGTTTTTTAGTATAAGGGCTGGTGGTTCTTGGGGTTTGACTGGTGGCCTAGAAGTTTCGGAGAGGGGGGTGGTGGTTTGGCTCGGAGCGGCGACTTTAGGGGTGGGGGAAGGCTGGAGGACTGGTGAGGAAGGTGGCTGGCCTGGGTGGGTTGCCGGATTGGCTGGTGGTTAATTTTTTTTTTTTATAAATATTTTTAGCCAATTAATTTGTGACACGTGTCACTTTAACGAAAAAATAGATAAATTTAACCCATTCAACCGATTACCGGTATTTGGGATTGTAGAAAAAGAAGACCCCCCAAAGTTCGGATTATTCCAGAATAATCCAAAGTTGGGATTATTCTACCAAAATTGATGAAAGTTGGGATTATTTTTTCTAATTTTTCCAATATATAATTTCTCACTTTGATATTTATAGTATTTTAGTCCCTCAATTTTTAAATGACTCACTTTTAGGCACAAATTAGTTGGATCGCTTACCTTGCTTTGGCATGCCAGAAAGGTAGAACTCTTGCTTAGTGCTTGCATTAAGCATAGTTTAGGGACATTAGTGCACACGACTCACTTTTCAAGCACAAATTAGTTGACTAAGCATAGTTTAGGGATGTTAGTGCACATGTGGCAATAAATTTAATGATTTTAAAAGAAAAGTTTAGGGACCTTCAACTGATGAGTAAACATTAGTTAAATTAGAATGAAAGTTTAGGGACCTATAGGAACACATGGCTTTCATATAGGAGTGATTACAAGTTTTAATCCATAAGTGTAATTAAGTTCAATTAAATTAATTTGATTTCAACAAAGGATCTTGCTAACGAACGCCCCCGGGGCGTTCGTTAAGCATTTAAAATATTGCCTAAAATGGTATTAATTTGGAAAAACATGACAAAAATCACGTGTCAATCGGTGTAATTAATGTTCATTTTAATTTAATCTTTCTACTTTTAGCTAGCTTATCCAACGCCTCCGGGGCGTTCGTTAGCTTTTGCCTTCAACAAAACCAAATTAATTTTAGTAACAATTATTAACTTTATAAAAATTTATAAGTGAGAGATATTTTAAGTGTGAAATTCATGGTCATCATTTACTTTCTCTCACTAAAATCTTGCTATAATACGAAATTTGTTTGTGGAAGAAAAATTCCTTCTTAGTTCTAGGGCAATTATTATTATCTCCTAAAAATGCTAAATAAGAAACCCTAAAAATTGCCACACAAATACCCAAAAAATTGAAATTTATTTAGAACATAAACACAAAGGAAAAAAAAAACCCCAAGAAAATTGAAACCCTTTTAAAAAATAAATGCATGAAAAAAAGTCATTTTGAAAGAAAAGTGGGGGTAGTATTATTTTTTATTCTAGTTTTCGTATTTCTATTTAGTTTTATATTAAAAAGTTTGGGTTAGTTATGTCTTAATCGCTACACGATTTTGCGCTAATTGGCAAAGAGTAAAGCAATAAGTTTTTTAAAAATTATGACGTAGTGGCTCTTCGGAGGTGATGGTTGTTTGGTGGGTGGTGGGGTAACAAGTTAGAGAGTGGTTAAAGAAATTGAAAAGTGAATAGGGTACATTTTATATGGGGCATGTTTGTAAAGTCATGTTAAAATACGGGCGTTACTCTATAAATTAAATATCGGACGTAGTTTAGCGATTCACAAAATGATATAAAACATATCATGATTATGAAATTCTATTAGCAATTTTTATTCTTGCCAACTCACTTTATAAATATTTGGTAAAAAAAAAAAAAAAAAAAAAAAACCCTCACATTATAGATCGCTAAGCTATATATATATATATATCTTTATGAAATATCTTTATGCATCTTTTTTGGAGGAATTGGTGTCTTTGGTGTGGCGTCATTCCTTTTCGTTTTCTTCTTTGTTGTACGCAAGAAAATTTTAAGCTTATTCTTTTGTCTAAACAAAATCAAAATTACTTTTAGAACATGGGCAAGTAATTTAGAACATAATTAGAAATACTTTAAAACATAAACATAAATACTTTGGAACATATTTGAAATACTAATAACAAACCCAAATCAAAACCAATATATATAACTAGAAAACACAAACCATTAATCTTATATTAAAGTTTTACCAAATCGTCCAACATATATTCTAAACCAAAACCAATGTTTTAAATATTCCTATTATTAAGTTACATTGATTACCCTTTCTTTGCTTCAACTTTCTTTTTTTCCTCTTTTTCTCCTTCCTTCTCTTCTTGCCTTTCTCCTTCTTGCTCCTCTTGTCTTTCTCCTTCCTTCGCCTCTTGCCTTTCTTCTTGATTATCCTTTTGTCTTTGTTCTTGCTTTTCTTCTTGTTCTTGAAAACATAAAGGAAAACTTTAGAACATAAGGGAAAAATAAAATTGAACATAATAGAAAACTTTAGAATATAATAGAAATACTTTAGAACATAATAGAAAATACTTTATAATCAAAAGTACTTTAAAAGATTGACATGTTCTATAAATAATTTCAAACATATATTATAATCTTTAGAACATAATAGAGAATTTTATGTCATAATTGGAATACTTTAGAACATAAGGGAAAAATTTAGAACATAAAGAAAAAATATAATAGATCATAATAGAAAACTTTAGAACATAATAGAAAATCTTAGAACATAATAGAAATACTTTAGAACATAAGGGAAAATTTAAGAACATAAGGGAAAAATATAATAGAGCATAATAGAAAACTTTAGTTTAGAACATAATAGAAATACTTTAGATCATAACCTTTTGCCAAATCTCCTTCTTGCTCCTCTTGTCTTTCTCCTTCTTTCTCCTCTTGTCTTTCTCCTTCCTTCGACTCTTGTCTTTCTTCTTTATTATCCTCTCGTTCTTGGTCTTGCTTCTCTTCTTGTTCTAGAAAACATAATTATAAAACACAATATTATATTATAATTGTATCATAAGAATTTGAGTTGGAACATTAACATAAACTTTAGAACATAAAGTGCAAACTTTAGAACATATAGCTTAAACTTTAGAACATATAGCGTAAACTTTAGAACATAAGCATATACAAATATTCTATTTCATTTTTTTTTAGTACTTTTCCTTTTTTAAAATACTTTAGAACATAAGGGAAAACTTTAGAACATAAGGGGAAAATATAATAGAGTATAATAGAAAACTTTAGTTTAGAATATAATAGAAATACTTTAGATCATAACCTTTTGCCAAATCTCCTTCTTGCTCCTCTTCTCTTTCTCCTTCCTTCTCCTTTTGGTTTTCTCCTTCCTTTGCCTCTTGTCTTTCTTTTTGATTATCCTCTTGTCCTTGGTCTTGCTTCTCTTCTTTATCTTGAAAAACATAATTATAAAACACAACATAGAATATAATTGTATCATAAGAATTTGAGTTGGAACATTAACATAAACTTTATAACATAAAGTGCAAACTTTAGAACATATAGCTTAAACTTTAAAACATATAGCGTAAACTTTTGAACATAATCATATACAAATATTCTATTTCATTTTTTTTAGTACTTGTCCTTTTTAAAATCAATTAATTAAAAGAACATTAATAAGAAATGAGTTTGAAAATAATTGGAAATTACCAAGTATAGGTGAAGAGATACTATCATCTATCTTTTCATTGATATTTCTCTCATCGTTGTTCTTTTCTCTTTCTCCTTCATTTGATGACAAATCTTCATAATAATTACAAAACACAATTTTAGAACTTAACTATATCATAAAGATTTGAGTTGGAACATAAACACTTGATTTAAGAGCATAATTTAGAACATAGGTATTATTTAGAAATTAAACATGTAATTACCATGTCCCAATGACTTTGGTGACTATTCAACATTAAATTTCTTCCATGCTATGTTCATCAACATATCCAATTCTTCTATGAATGTCGGTTCATCGAAGAAATGTTGATCTTGACTAAGTATGGAAGGATTTTGTCTGTTGCTTTTCTTCTTCTTGATTTACCAATGGCTATATATAAGAATACATAAGCTAGAATCCAATAAGACATTTATATATGTTGAACTATATAAATATAAAAATTACACTTTAGAACATAGGCTGAAAATAGTTTAGAACATAATTATTATACCTTTGTGGTATACTTGCACCAAATGTTGTCTATAAGATGATGCATTTTCCCCGTTGTTTCTTCCTCAACAAAGATATCCTTTGCTTGTTTCAACATGCTATACATCTCTTTTACATTCGATGCAAGACTTTTTGCCAAATCTCCAAATTTGCTTAAAAAACCCTAATAATTTAGAACATAAAATAATGAATATTTAAAATATTATAGAAATAAGTAAATAAATTAATAAAAAAATATTAAAACATTATACCATCATATCATTTGGAGACGTGATAGAATCACATTGTCATTGATTGGTTTTCCACAACTTTCTCTTTTCCTTTGTCTTTCCCTTGCTTTTTTATTACTTTCTTCTCCCCTTGTTTTTCTCTAATTGTCAAGGGTTGCTCTTTCTTCTTGCCTTTGTCATTCTCTTGCCTTTTTTTCCAATCCCTTTTTAAATATACATTATAAATTTTAGAATACATGCATAAATATATTGTATAGATAAATATAAAACGATAATAAACTTTAGAACATATATTATAAAGTTTAGAACATATAGTATAAACTTTAGAACATAAGCATATACAAAAATCATACCACATTCAATTTCATTCTTTCTAGTACTTTTCCTTTTCCAAATCCAAGGTCTTTCTCAAACTTCAATCTTGTATGGAACCTTTCTTGGTTCCACAATGGTATTAATGGAACTTGACGTGGTATCTCTAACCCCTTCCTTTGTACCCGATCAAAAAAGGATACCTAAAAGAACATCATTAGAAATACTTTAGAACATTGATATGTAAAGTAGAACATAGATATATAATTTAGAACATCATTAGAACTTACCATAAGAAAAATTAAAGGACCCGTAAAGAAAGATTCTCCATCTAGCCATTTCTTAGTAGTTTCCATCAAGTGCTCCTTAACAATTTTGCACCAATTCAACTTAACTATATTCTTTGTATCCTTGCAACTATACAAAAACTTAATGTATAGTTGCTTGTTATTAGTTGAACGGATGCAACTATTAACCACACAAACCAAAAAATTCCAAATGAATTCATCCGAAACTTGTTTTTGTTCTTTATCTACCTCCTTCACCTTTTGGATCCTACTAATCAATTGTGCATTTGTTGGAGCACCCTGTAATTAATTTAGAACATGGATAAGTAATTTAGAACATAATAAAAAATACTTTTAGAACATAATTATAAATACTTTAGAACATAATCAGAATAACTTTAGAACATAAGAAAAAATACTTTAGAACATAAGCAGAAATACTTTGGAACATAATCCAAAATACTTTAGAACATAATGGAAAACTTTAGAACATCAAGAAAAAATAAGATTGAACATAATATAAAACTTTACAACATAATAGAAATACTTTAAAACATAATAGAAAATACTTTATAATCAAAAGTACTTTAAAAGATTGACATGTAATATAAATAATTTTCAAACATAATAGAAAATTATAGAACATAATAGAAATAATTTAGAACATAAGGGAAAACTTTAGAACATAAGGAAAAAATATAATAGAACATAATAGAAAACTTTAGAACAATAGTTTAGAACATAAGGCAAAACTTTAAAATATAAGGGAAAAATATAATAGAACATAATAGAAAACTTTAGAACATAAGGGGAAAATATAATAGAACATAATAGAAAATCTTAAAACATAATCAAAAATACTTTAGAACATTATTAAAATAAATTAGAACATAAGCAAATAACAAGTTTAGAATACAAGTTCACATAAAAATATTCATACCACTTTAAGGTTAAAGTTTTTTTCTCCATTTTTGCATAAAATTTGCACATTCATTCTTGTTTTCTATTGTGTCAAGAATTGCTATATCTCCCATTGGCAATCCATATGTCATGTGAACATCAATTTCATCAAAGAGTATTTCTTCTTCTCTCCCCGGTAGCATCAAGCAACATCTCTTGGGATAAAAATTCGAAAGAAGTTGTTGTGTCAACCTAGATTTAAATTAAAAGTTTAGAATACAAAATACATATAGAATAGAATTTAAATAAAAATAAAAATTAACATGATAATTAAACTTTAGAACATTATTTAGAATTTTATAAGAATTAGAACATAATAGATGATATTTAAATAATAAAAACAAAAAATAAAAGTTAACGCTAGTGCTTACCAAGAATCCACTGGTGCATCCAAGTTCAAAAAAGCTCCAAATCCAATTTTTTTTAATTGCTTGTTTATGCTTATCAGAAAGATCTACCAACACTTGTTTCATCAATTCCTTAGCGATAACTCTTTGATAAGCCGATCTCATATTTTTTTTCCACTTTGATTATTTTGACATCCTCATCATCCTTCTCTTTTTCAATCTTTCTTTTCTTATTTTTCTGATTTTTTTTTTTTTCAAAACCACTTGAAAAAAGTAAAACATTAGAAAGAATTTGAATTAGTAGATAAATTATTGTTATAATTAAATCATTTACTTTTAGAACATAAGCATGAATGTATTAGAACATAAGCATGAATGTATTAGAACATATGTATATAATTAATAAAGTTACATATTAATTATAATTAATTATAAATGTAGAATATAAACATGCAATTTATGACATTAGCATATAATTTAGAACCTTTTACTATCATCATTCACGCCATCTCTTTTATCATCTTTCTCCTCCAACTTTGGTTCATCCATCTCATCATTAATATCATGTTGATCATCATTTTCATCATCATCATCATCTTCTTCTTCCTTTTTTTTTCATTTTTCTAGTTGGTTGAATCCTTGATGAAAGCTTGGCACTTTTTTTTTTCGTTTTTGATTTTGCACATGTTTCTCAAATTCAGCTTTGTCAATTACTTCCGCATCATTTTCAACAACTTTCCTTTAAAATCAAATATAAATGATTTAGAACATATATGATAATCTTTATAACATAATAGAAAACTTTATATCATAATATAAATACTTTAGAACATAATAGTTACTCTTAGAACATAATAGAAATACTTTAGAACATAAGGGAAAACTTTAGAATATAAGGGAAAAATATAATAAAACATAATAGAAAAATTTAGATCATAATAGAAATACTTTAGAACATAATAGAAAATCTTTAAAACATAAGGGAAAACTTTAGAAAATAAGGGAAAAATATAATAGAACATAATAGAAAACTTTTGAACATAAGTGAAAACTTTAGAACATAATAGAAAAACTTTAGAACATAAGGGAAAACTTTTAGAAAATAAGGGAAAAATATAATAGAACATAATAGAAAACTTTAGAACATAAGGGAAAACTTTTAGAACATAATAGAAATACTTTAGAACATATGGATAGAAAATGTTAGAACATAATAGAAATACTTTAGAACATAAGGGAAAACTTTAGAACATAAGTAAAAAATATAATAAAACATAATAGAAAACTTTAGAACATATGGAAAAACTTTAGAACATAATAGAAATAATTTAGAACATAGTAGAAAACTTTAGGTCATTATAAAAATACTTTAGAACATAATAGAAAATCTTAGACATAATAAAATACTTTAAAACATAAGGGAAAACTTTAGAACATAAGGGAAAACTTTAAAACATAAGGGAAAAATACTTTAGAACATAAGGGAAAACTTTAATTACCTTTTTCTTCCATAAGTAATTTTTTCATCCGGTATATAATAGTAATTTCTTCTTCTGATTTTTCTTCATTTTGGCCTTGCATTTTGCTGAAATTTTATAAAAAAAAAAACATTAGTAACATTCCTACATTAGTAAGATTTGCAGTCTTCAGTTTTCATTACTAGCTGACACCCTCACATTTCCAGTTTCCCACTATGCATGTACACATTCAAACAATAAAAATCATTTGTATAAATAATCATATCCAATTAAAAGCATGCTTCATTTAAGTTTACCTAGATTACAATTGTTGTAATGAAGAAGAGAGAATCTCAAACAAGAACATCTCAATAATGGCAGATCGCTAAATCAGATATTGCTCACAAAATTTGTAATCAACACTATTGGGAAGAATCAATAATTTGGCTTATTATAAACAAACAATGATTAATATAATTAGTGTGAGTGTGTGACCATACCAATTCTCCTAGAGTCCTACGCATAGAACTATAGAAGTAGCCAAATTATTCTCAATCCTCAGCACAACCCATAATTCTAATATAAATTAATCTCAATTAACACAGTAGCATCAAATTACAAACACACCAACTAAATTAATCATCACAACAAAATTATTCAATAAGACCGCAAATAAATCGTACAAAAAAATGGTAAAATGACCCAAAAAAAAAATCAAATAATAATAAAGTAATCAAGAGTAGCGCTGAAATTACCTAAAATCGCTGAAATTCGAACACTAAAATCGCTGAATTCGAACACTAAAATCGCTGAAATTCGAACATTAAAATCTTTGAAATTCGAACCTTAAATCCGCTGAAAATTCCAGCCCTAAAATCGCAGTAGTTTGAACCTAAAATCGCCAAAAATTATTGAAAATCAAATCAAAAACATCAAAATTCGACTTGAACTCTTGCGAAATTCAAGAAAATCAGATCAGAAAAATCGTAAAATTGGAAGGAAAAAAAAAGGCAAATATCATGTGAAATTCATGAAATTAGAACAAAATTGAAAAATAAAGTACCTGATTTGAGTAATTAAGGCTGTTTTGGCGAAATTTGAACGAAAATACTTCAATTTACAGCAATTTGTGTTTGGTTTTGGGATTTGAGGAGAGAGAAAGTAAAGAGGCTTGAAAGTTGAGGACTTGAGGAGAGAGAAAATTTTGGCTAGTGGATTAGGGGTTTGAGGGAGGGTTTTGTGTATTAATCTTAACCGTCTAAAGTAACTTAATCCTACGGTTGAGATTGGTTCTTATATAACTAAGGTTCTTATATAAAGTGTGGTTCTTACCGGATCCTTACCCCTATATATATATATATATATATATATATATATATATATATATATATATATAATATAATTGGCTTGTGATCTAACAAGTCCTAAACTTTGCCGACTAAACTTTTTCCGCCATCAGAAATGGTAAGGCTTGGGTGGTTGAGGCTTTGAGGGATCATTTTGACTCATTTAAAAGTTGAGGGACTAAAACGCTACACATAAAAAATTTAGGGACTTTACTTTACCTTTAACTCCCTAAAAATATCATTTGCTCATTTTGATGATTGTTATTTTTTTTTATTTTTTTTGTTGGTTGTTGTTGTTGTAGAGATTACTTATATATTTATCAAATTAATGACCCATTATTTGAACTAGTGACCTTAGGTATTTAATTAGCTCTCCTCCAACCACTAAACCACATGCAATCAATATTAAAGTCGAGACCTTTTTTTTCTTACACTAAGATGGATTTGCCTCTAGGATGACCTTATCCTTTGATGACTTAATCATACTTTTGTATCACAAATTGTAACCCTTTCAAATTATACTCCAATATATAACTAATTTGGGATAGTGATTCGAATTAAGTCGTTAGGCTAAGGGTTATTTAGGGTCATTATTGGAAATTGTGGGCTTGGTGATTTAAGTATGTATGATAACATCTCTCTTGTTTTTGGTACTTTTGAAATATACATGATCAAAGCTAGCTAAGCGCATGAAATCAAATTTAGGCAGACTTTTTGGACTGAATTACAAGTCCCAACCTCTTTTTTTAATTTCTTTTTTTTTTGGATTTTGAGCAACCTAAAAATTCATTTTAAATAAAAATTTGTCCCGACCCGAAGCCTTGGCTAAAATGGACCTAGTTTTTTAGGGCAAAGCCTGTCCCGTGATCTCCTCTATTTTGAAAACAAATCAGTACGTAAACAATCCTTAAATACAATTTTGAATTTTGCGTAAATAGGTACTTTCAACTACCCAAGTCTTCGTAA